ATGCAACTTTTTTGCAGGGTTGTTCCCTCAGTTTGGTTGGTAGCACTTTTTAGAATGACAAATTGATTTAAAATGACTAATTTTCCAACAGGTATGGCAATCTGTTGTTTGGGTGGGATGCTTTTTGCATTTTCTTCCCGCCACAGAAAGGACATTTCAAAATGGGGATTCTTGCTTTCACTAATAAAACTCAATATTGCTTTCATTCCTCTGCCTTGCTAGCCAGTCATACTACATTAATCAACATAATAAATCAATTACTTAATAATTAATAAAAATGATCATTAAAATGTACCAAGCAGCAGATTTTATTTTGCCATCTTGGGTTTAGAAATAGTGCTAGAGGAAATCAGAGTGGGTCCTAAGTCCTGAACAGTAAAGGAGGAGTTGGGAACTGGAGCCAAGCTAATGAGTTGAGCTTAAATAACTGACCTTATATTTGCCTCTGGTGACACACACTCTGAGCTGGCCTCGATGGAATTCATACAGGAGTCAGAAGCTGCTTGTCTTTAAACCTGAGTTTTCCTCCTTTCCCAAACTGCTTTGTGGATAGATTTTTTCTGGGGAAGAGTAGGAGGGAACGGATGGATTTGTGCCTGGATGTCGCCTTCCCACACACCATCCCTTTATTCCCACACACCCTTGCTCTTCCTCAATACTTTCCCTACTATTATATTCCATGTATACACACTCTCTCCCTCTGCCTTCAGCACACACAATTTCTCTCCTGCCTGCCCCGCCTAGCATTTTCGCTCTGTCCTACTGCCTCCCACACTCTCACTGCACATGTGCACACACACAGAAACACACACACACGCAGAATCTCTAGAGTGGAAGCAGGCCAGTCAGCACATCAAGTCCACACTGACCCTCCAAAGAGCATCTGACCCAGAGCTACCCCCGTACCCTTTCTCAGTAATCCTGCATTCTTGTGGCTAATAGAGTCATAGAGTAATACAGCATGGAAATAAGCTCTTTGGCCCAAAGTGGTTCATGCTGACCATGGTGCCCACTCCGCTCATTCTAATTGCCTGCATTTGGTCCATATCCCTCTAAACTCTTCCCATCCATGTACCTATCCAAATGTTTTTTAAATGTTGCTATTGTACCTGCCTCAACCACTTTCTCTGGCAGCCCACTCCATGTATGCACAACTTGCTGTGTGAAGAAATTGCCCCTCAGGTCCTTCTTAAATCTTTGCTGTCTCACCTTAAACCTATGCCCTCTAGTTTTCAATTCCCCATCCCTGGGAAAAAGACTATATGCATTCATACTATCTCTGCCTGTCATGATTTTATACACCTCAGTAAGGTCACCTCTCATTCTCCTATGTTTGAAGGAATAAAGTCCTATCCTGGCCAACCTCACCCTGTAAATCAGACCTAGTAGTCCTGGCAACATCCTCATAAATCTTCTTTGCACACTTTTCAGTTTAACTGTGCCTTTCCTATAACAGGGTGACCAAAACTGTATACAAAACTCCAAGTGTGGCCTCACCAGCGACTTACACAATTGTAACATAATGTCCCAACTCCTGTACTCAGTGCCTTGACCTATGAAGGCCAGCATGCTAAATGCCTTCTTCACCACCCTGTTCATCTGTGATGCCACTTTCAACAAACTACGTACTTGTAGTCCTAGGTCCCTCTGTTCCACAACACTCCTCAGGACCTTAGCATTTACTGTATAAGTCCTACCATGGTTTGAGTTTCCAAAGTGCAACACCTCACAATCATCTGTATTGAATTGCATTTGCCAGTCAGCTCACTTCCCCATCTGATCACCTATCCTGGCTACCAAACCTACACATTCCTAACACTATGGGCAATTTAGCATGGTCAATCCACTCAACCTCACATTTTTGGACTGGAGGAAAGTGGAACACCAAGATGAAACCCACACAGACACGGGGAGAATGTGCAAATATTAGGAGAGATATTAGGCACAGGCCTTTGCAGCTCCCCCACCCCCACCCCCTCCTGCATCAGAACTGAATTTTGATCTGTGTCTTTGTTTCAGCACCTAGGCCTCAACATCTCCCCTTACTGCAAAGTCCCATACCCTGATAATTCAAACTTTGTCCCTACATGCCTTTTCATTCCTTCCTTATCCAATCAGAGACTTATTCTCACCAGCCTTTCATTCTGATAGTTTCATGGTTAACCTTCTAGCAGCAAATGTGGGGAGACAACAGGCTGTGATTGGCTGAGCAAGTTTGAGCTTTTTTGAAAAATCACCACATCTTTCCATGTTATTATTCCTCTGACTTGGACAAGGGATTTCTACAGTCCACATGACACCATGAACAAGCCTGTTTGACAGTCTCTACATCATTGTATGATTAACTTCCTAAGCCTTTACAACTGACTTCCACAGCTACCTCAAGTACACTTCCTTGCTCCCCACATTCTGTAAGAAATCCATTAAAATCTTGTAATTGCCTTGACTCTACCTCATCTGTTCCGATGATCCAACTTTCTGAGATGCCTACATTTTCCCTCAGCTGAGGAATTCCCTCCTCCTGCCAACGTGGTTGACAGAGCCCTCAACCGTGTACATTATATTTCACACACTTATGTTCTTAGCACGTTTCCTTGTTCCCAGAACCAGAATAGGCTTGTCTTCCATCCCACCAGCCTTCATTTTCTGTCCTTTCCATACCTCCAGCATGGTACCACCAGCAAACACATTTTTCCCTTCCATTCCCTTTAAGCATATTTTTTTTTCCTTTATTCATTCACAGGATGAGGGCATCGCTGGCTAGGCAGCATTTATTACCCATCCCTAGTTGGCCAGAGGGCAGTTAAGAGCCAACATTGCTGTGGGTCTGGAGTCACATGTAGGCCAGACCAGGTAACGATGACAGATTTCCTTCCCTAAAGGTCATTAGTGAACTAGATGGGTTTTTCCAACAATCGACAATGGATTCATGGTCATCGTTAGACTCTTAATTCCAGATATTTGTTGAATTCAAATTCCACCATCTGCCGTGGCAGGATTCAAACCCAGGTCCCTGGGTCTCTGGATTCACAGTCCAGCGATAATACCACTAGGCCATTGCCTCCCCTTCTAAAGTGACTATCCCTCCAATGATACCCTGTTCTACTCCCCAGTCAACCCCAACATCCTGTCCCTTTCCCACAGTTCCTTTTGATTGCATTTCCAGGAGATTTAACATTTGCAATCTTCTCTCTCCTCATCATCCAAAGCCCTAAAAATTCTGAACAGGTCAGGCAGCAATTTACATTTTGATTTCAATTTGGTCTGCTGGATTCAGTGCTGAAAATATGGTCTGCCCTACACTGGGGAGACCATACACAGATTGGGTGACCAGTTTGCCAGAAACCTCTGTTCAGTTCACAAGCATGGCCCCAACTTTCCTATGGCATATTTTTAAAATTCTCTACCATGTTTATCTGGCCAACTGTAATATTGCATTGAGGTTCAATGTAAGTGTGAGGAGCAGCACTTCTTCTTCAAGTTAGACACTGCAAGCCTTCTGGACTCAGCACTGAATTCCACAATTTTAGTCTACAATGTATACTTCTTTTTGTTCGCTTTTCTTGTTTAATTATTTTTAAAGTCAGCAGCACTCCAGCTATAAATAATTTCCTTGTTTCTTTTCTGCCTCTTTGTACAAACATACAAATTAGCAGCAATAGTAGGCCATTCAGCGCCACCATCAAATGTTTTCACTTCTAACATTTTCCTAAGACAGATCACCATTTAGTTTAGCCCTGGAAGACTACTTGTTCTTTCAATCTTTCCTGTATTTTGCCCTATCCCAGACCTTCATTTGTGTGTAAAACATCTCTAACATTTTCTAGTTCTGATGAAAAATCATTGACTTAAATTGGTTTCTGTCCACAGATACTGCCATAACCTGCTCAATGTTTCCAGCATTTTCTGTTACTATTTCAGATTTCCAGTATCTGCAGTGTGCTGTTCTTTAATTAGTGTTTTTCTCTCCCCATTTCATTAAGTGACTGGTCCATCAGTTTCCCGAATACCAGAAACCAGATAACCAAACATTCTGATAAGTGAGAGATAGTAGGAACTGCAGATGCTGGAGAATCTGAGATAACAAGGTGTAGAGCTGGATGAACACAGCAGGCCAAGCAACATCTTGGGGGAAGGAAGGCTGACGTTTCGGGCTAGGCCTGAAACGTCAGCCTTCCGGCTCCTATGATGCTGCTTGGCCTGCTGTGTTTATTGTGATAGGTGGTTTGACTGATATGTGCACCTCTCCAATAACAATTTGATTGATTCTTCCTTGCTCAATCAGGGACTGGTGACAATCGAGCAAGTGATAGCCAGACACATACACACTGGTGTAACTTGGACAAGATTGGTCTATATATTTCCAGTGACAGAAAATAGGTTGGGGCTCTATGGCATAGTGGCAGTGTCCCTATCTCTACACCAGGAGACCTAGGTTCAAGTCCCACCTGTGCCAAAGGTCTGTAATTACATCCCTGTGCAGGTTGATTAGGAAAAAATAGCTTTGGTGTTCATCCTGTAGGTAGTGAAGAAACTGATCTTAATTGGAACAGCTGTTTTGGTAGTACAATAATTGTGATCCAACACTTTTAGGCTAGAAAAGGCAGCTTTGCCAAACTTCCCAACCCTGTTCGCCATCTAGTGACTTTACTGAAAGGTACCACTGCAGACTCACCTTTGGACATGCGCCCTCTAGACTCACATTTTAAAAAGGGGTGATATTTTATGTGTAATCGGAGAGTTGTCGGTGCGTGCAGGTCCATTAATCGCAACTTTATTTGTTCAGGGAGATTAAAAAAACAGATCTGGCAGACTTTTCAAACGTTTGCGGGGAGTGGGAGTGAGTAGCGGAAATAAAATGTTGCAATAGAAGCCTCGTGAAATGTTCTAAGAAAAATAAAATGCAGTCTTCAATGTCTTCGGAGACTTCGTAAAAGATTAATAAAATGTGGTGGTTGCTCTTTTTCCACCTGGTGTCAATCCATGAAGGCTAATAATTGACAGCTGTTCACTGAAGTTTTCGTGTTAGAAAAAGAACATCCATCAATTAGGGGAGAAGACATGGTAACTCCGGTAGAGCTGCCAGACATTCAGAAGGGTCAGATTCTCAGTTTCAGTCTTCCAGTTGCTCATTTTTTTCTCTGTTAATGAGACAAGACCTCACTGGAGTGGAGAGAGTGTCACGTAACCCTGATTTAGAAACAAAATCTGCGAAAAACAGGCAACGAGTTGGACAAACAAACGTCCCTTGAGTAAAGGACCTTGGAAATGACTAAAGTTCAGATTTTTTTTTAAAGTCATTAGTGATGAACTACCACAAGCTAAAGGTAGCGGTCATAGGAGCAGGGGCAAGCGGTCTGTGCGCTGCTCGCCACCTGCTATCCAGGCCACACGTTTTCGCTCCCCCTGTGGTCTATGAGCTGTCTAACTGTGTTGGAGGCACTTGGGTTTACACAGACAAAGTGGGAAGGGATGACTACGGCCTGCCTATTCATTCCAGTATGTACAGGGATTTAAGGTAATGTACATCACGTCGAGCTAAGAGGATGGTAATTTGATGTACCAATCGGACAAAATGTAACGAACACAAAGTTTGATCCTGCTGTCGCCCACCTAATACCTACTGGATTATTTCTTCGTCTATGAGAACAGTCCGGTCAATATGAAGCAGAGCGCTTGTTTTTTTTAAATTTCCCTGCATGGTAGGTTGCACCATCTGGTGGTCGTGTCAGTTCGGCAGAGCAAGCTAGATAATAGTCACACAGGCGTGAACTTGCCTTTGTCCTCAAGCGCTGCACAGTTGTGGAAAGCTTTAGGTGTACTTAAAATATTTACATCTATATTTCCTGTTCCCACATGAGATAATCTTGTACTGTTTTTAAATTTATCTACCAATAAAGAAGAAAAAAAAATGCTTGAAAAATATTTTGCCATGAAAGTTCAAACTGGAAACAGCTGTAAGAATATGTATGCACTTTTTGAATTGGTTTACTTGTGCTCTGGTTTGGTGGGCTAAAACCGTGGGAATCAAGTGACAATGTCCATCAAAATAATTTAAAATTTGATTGCTTTTTTTTTTCTTGCATAAGCTGTTTGAAATAGGAATTTCAGTTACTTTTGTTGGATAGAAAATGCTCATATTTTGAAATGACCAAAAGGAACATCTGTTAAAAATGTATTTTATCCATTTAATCAGAACAGAAAATCTACTGATATTTCTTCTAGAGAACAAAGTAGAAGGCAGTAGAAAGAGTCAACTTTCTTCTTTTGGCAGGGCCTCCTGGTTGGGAATGGCTTGCTTGGTGGGTGGATAGTGGTTCTGCAGTGGCTGAATAGTCCAGTTGTAGAGCTGCAGCTGAGGCAAGTGGTGTTTGACATGGAAGGTGTATGGGATACTCTGAATTTTGCACAGTCTTTCTGCTGCTTACAATACTGTTCACGTGCTCCAGTCAGTGACGCTCAAAATGGTTGGTCCGTTCATGGATGCTTCTTTTACAGTTTGTGGGCTCTAAGACCAGTAATTCCCACGTGTCAATGGGGATGTTGCATTTGTTAGGGAGAATTTCAGGATATCCTTGTTGCATCTCCTCTGCCCTGCTAGTGATCACTCACCATTGTGGAGCTCTGAGTACCTTTTTAGGGAGCCTTGTGATGGACATGTAGACAATATGGCTTGCCCATTACAGCTAGTCATGCATGAGTGGTGGCTTGATATCTGGGATATTGGCCTGGAGAGGACGGTCACATTGGTACGCCTATTCTGCCAGTGGATTTACAGGATGTTGCAAAGATAGTGTTGGTGATAACTCTCTCCATGGCTTTGAAGTGTCTGCTGAACATGGTTTATATTTCTAACACATATGGGAGGCTGGAGATCATGGCTGCTCCATAGGCCATGAGCTTGATGCTGGGTTTGAGGTCTCAGACTTTGAACGCTCTGCTCCTCAAGCGTCTGGAGGCTGCACTGTAGTATTTGAGTCGATGTTGGATTTGATTGTCAATGTGTGCTCATACTGAGAGTTGGCTCCTGAGGTATGGGAAATTATCCATGTTGTCAAGGGGCTTGCTGTGAATTTTAATGGTCAGGGCAATATTGTGTAGCAGGAGATGGCTGGTAGAGGACTGTTTTGTTTTCTGAATGTTTATTCTGCGACCCATTCTCTCCTACACCTCAGTGAACATATTGATGATTTGTAGCTCAACCTCTGAGTGTATGCACATGCAGGCAGCATCTGTGTACTGCAGCTCGATGACAGAAGTTGGGATGTCTTGGTTCTGGTCTTCAGGCATCGAAACTAAACAGTTTCCTGCTTGTCCTGTTGGTTTGTGCCATTCTAGTGGGAGCTTCATGGAACTGGGGGTGGAGTGTTGTGGCAAGGGTGATTGAGAAGAACTGCTTGACCCCAGTTTACAATTGTATTAGGTTTGTAGTGCATCAATTGGTGAGGATCAGGGCTGTCATCGTGAAGCAAATGGAGAATGGTGACAAATTTCTGCACGCAGCCAAATTTGCGAAGGAGATTTCACAATCCCTCATGGTTGATGATATAGTTCAAGACCTTTGTGAGATTGAAGAAGGCCAGGTTCCCTGCACTTTTTCTTGGATTTGTTGAGCACTGAAAATAATGTCCATTGCGCCTCTTGACAGGCAGAGGCAGCATTGAGATGAGGAGGAGCTCTTCAGCCACTGTGAGGAGGATTCTCAGGATGACTTTTCCCATGGTAGACAGTAGGTAAATCCCTTTAATTTTCACAGTTGCACCTATCTCCTTTTTTATTTTTGAAGTCTGTCTGGTGTCTCTTCATTCCTCGGCTGATGTTCCTTTTCCAGGGAGAGTCATTCCCATGGTGAGTGCAGTTGCTAAAGGTAGCTGATGCTGTTGATCTGTTTCTGTTGCTGGGGTACAGTGGATCTCTGGAACTGATGGTCATTTTATGCTCTGTGGAAGTGACAAGATTACTTCTCTCATCGGCTGCCTGAAGTGAAAGCATTGCTTCTTTGGTTGTATGTAGATGCCTGTAGTTGGACAATATATTTGCTTGTTCATATTCACCACCTGTGATCAGCATCACAACTGCTGTGTACAGGTCCCAACTTACTGTGTGGGCTGACTGTCGTTGAGAGTGTTGAACATTTGCATTCTGACTGTCTCTCCAATGCTGAGCTCTGGGAACGACTCGGCAGCTTTATCAAAACAAAATTTGGCTTTCTGTTGTTTGTTTGACCTGGTTTTGAAACTCATGTCTGATACAACAACTAGGTTCAGTCATTCTTCCAACAATGGAACAACAGTTTGGCTGAGGCTTGACATTAGTTTTTCAATTGGACTGTTTCCATACCTTCAAGTGGGTACATTCTGTGCTGGATTTGCTCAGTTTCTTTACAATCCTGTTGGTGATTTTCATGGCGAGCTCAACCTTTTCCACTTGATTCAATAGTGTGGACATGATCTATGATATTTAAATGACATTCGTTTGACTTGTGACATTATTGCAATGACTGAAATGCCATAACTAAAGTGCATTTTCAGGCATTCTACAGTCACACTGGCTCTCATTGATGTCAGCTGGTCTAATTCCCAGTAGTCAGAACAATAGTTCATGATGACAAGATAATCCATTCCTGCAAGAGTAAAGAGGTCTACTCCAAAATTCTAATGGGATGCTGTGCATCATGAACAGTTCATTTAGATTGTTTAGTGTGCTATTTGTTATAAGAACTGCACAGGCTGATGTGGTCCTTCAATCCCATTGTTCGTATTTGGCCAGTTGAGCACTTCTCCTGCTTTCCTCCAGACTAGACTCAATTGCTTGGTGCATTGCATGAAAGCACTTCATCTTTTTTTCTCATCTCCTAAGGCAAAACGACTCTACTTCCTTTGTACAAGATGTCAATCTTGGGCTTTTACTTCATGCCAAATATTTCTCTTAGAGCAGCAGGTATGTTCTTGATGCTTTTGTCGCTACTTCCTGCAGCACTTGGAGAGTTTTCTTGTTGAAATCAAGCAAACTATGCAAAATGACGCTTGTGTCTCTGCTGGATTGATGACTTCCAGAGCATGTAGAACAGTTGCTTCTCATTGAAACTGGAAGATTTTACACTCTGCCAAAGCATTCTTGACTTTCTCAATAGGGAGAACTACTCTCAAAGGCATGCCTGCAATGTACATCTGTTTCATTTGCATGTATGTCACATCCAAATGACTTTGCTGCAAACAAAGTAACATTCTTTTGGAGCAGGTAGAAGCATTTGAGGAAAATGCTTTGAAGTGGTTTGTGGTCAGTCTGCACTGTCACTTTGCCTTTCCCAAATAGATGTTGGTCACAATGCTCACAAGCTAAGACAATACCTGTACACTTTGTTTCTCTACCTGAATATAACATTTTTCAGTTTGTGTTGATGCCCTGGGTTCAAATGTAACTGGTTGTCCTTACTGTATATGGGTTGCTTCAAGTCCTGCTTTTCCTGAAATGATTGACATCAATGAACATTGTAGTACCTCAGCGCTTGCACTGTTGTCACTAGCTGTTTGATTTCAAGTGAAAGGTAATTTTGTTCTCTGCATGTCCTTAGCTGTCATGTCTGCTGGTTGCTGCATCTCTGCTATACCTCTCACTTTGTCAGAATCTGGGTGAAGTCCGTTTTTGCTGTCAATGTACATCTTCAGTTGCATCTTCTTCTTGTTCAGCTTCATCTGGTGAACTCTCCAAGTGGTCACACTAGATTCTGATTGTGGTCTGCGATTGTGTCTCTACATCCATAGATTAACTTCCACAGTCTATCTTGTTCTGTCAATGTTTTGTTACTTTTCTGGAGAGTGGAAATGCCAAACAGCATGCCCACCATCAGTATCTATTGAATGGGGTCTAGAAGGCACCTGTTGGAATCCAGCTGCTTTCATAAGTTTCACTTACTGGTAACCATCCTTCACACTGAGGATAGTAAAGGCCTTTGCTGTGGTGAGTTGTGGCTCAATTTCTTCAATGGTTGGCTTGGGATAATGAGATTTCTTCAAATTTTTGAGGCCCTTGCATACTCTGTTTTCCAGTTTATTTTTGCTTTTAACATACTGTAACTCATATACTGGAATTATCACTTCATGATTACTACTTCTTCTCTAGCTCCTCTATCTAATCTTTCAGGTTTGACTTGAGGGCAGCTGGAACTGTTCTCAAAAGTGCTGACTTGGTCTTCCACTCTCATCTATTTCAAGATGATACCCCCAGGAAGGCATCCAAGATCTGTGAAAACATCTATGTAATCTTTCAGGATGTGTTCAGTCGTCAGTGGCTTAGTGGTCTTTGAAACATTGCTAATCTCTTCTGGCACATTAGGCTTACTGGTCCCAGGTTTAGATTTTCTTCAGCAGACATGAGTGGATTTTGTTTTATGCCCACCACCTGGAAATCCACATCTTCATTCTTTGCACTGCTCTTCACTGGACTATCAGCTAATTTGTCCCCTTGGTATGATTATTGTTCTATCATATAGTCCCAACCCTACCTTGCAGGGGTTCA